GGCTGAGCCATGGTGGGATGTGCTGAGGCAGGAGGGGGAGGGATGCCCAGGGGTTGTTGTCCCCTCTCAGGGGTCTCCATCCCTGGGGGACATGCGTGATCAAAGACACCCGTGGCTTCCCCGGGGGGGCTTTTTGGGGTCCCGTGGCTGGTCCCGTCCTGCAGCCTGCCCGAATCCCGCCCGCTCTCAGCCAGGATTAAAAATGAATGAGCCAAAGGCTTCCCCAGTCTGTTTGCTGGCAGGCACCTGTGCCACACACTGAGCAGCCCCAGCCGCTCCTGCGCCATGGGGCAGGGCTGAGTGTGGGGCAGCCCCTGGCCCCCCAGCCCCAGCCCCATCTCAGCCCTGGTTCTGCAGCCAGAGCCTGTGCCAGCTCTGCTCCTGTGCTGGGGGTGCTGGGTGCTGCTCCCCCCTGCCCCATCCCCTGCCCACGGGTGGTGGGTGGCCGCGGTGGGCGCAGCGCAGCCCCCAGCCCCACGCCTGCCGCCCACCTTCCTGGCCAGCCCCGGTGCACGGCGGGGGCGGCGGAGCTGGCGCAGGTGCCGGGGGGGGCTGCGTGGGTGGAAGATGGTGTTTTCCCAGCCCTGGCTGGTTCCTGCCGCCACCGCAGCCCCGCTCCCCGGCGCGGCACCGACGGGAGCCGCGGGGGCTGCACAGCTCTGGGGGGCACAAGGGGAGGGGGGGGCGGTGGCAGGGGCCAGGGGGCCCAGAGTGCATCAGCTGCCCCCCAACTGGGGGTCTCACCCCCCAGCACAGGGCTGTTCTCTGGTATCTTCCAACCCACCGGTGCCTGGGAAGGAAGGGGGAGGCATCAGGTGGGGGAGGCATCAGGTGGGAGGAGATGGGGAGCCCCCGGGGACCACCGGCACGGCCAGGGGGGCCAGGGTGCATCAGCTGCCCCCCAATTGGGGGTCTCACCCCCCAGCACAGGGCTGTTCTCTGGTATCTTCCAACCCACCGGTGCCTGGGAAGGAAGGGGGAGGCATCAGGTGGGAGGTGATGGGGAGCCCCCAGGGACCACCATCACGGGCAGGGGGGCAGCCGGGCAGCGGGACGGCCAAGGGGATGCTGTGCCTGGTGGGCAGGTGATGCTGTGGGGCAAGGGCAGGTCCGGGGGGGACGGGGTCTCCATGTGCCATGGGAATTGTGCACCTCTGTGACTCAGGGAGACCCCAGCCCAGTTAATGCTGGAGTGCCCACAGTGCCCAGGCACTTTGCTCCAGCTCCAAGCTGCCGTGCCCATGGACCAGGCTGGACGGAGCTGGTGTCTGTGTGCCACGGGGCATGGCCCAGGGGGTCTCTGCTCCACACCCAGCCCCGGCCCAGCCCTCCTCGACCACCCGCTTGTTCCCCTTTTGAAGTTCATATTAAATTTTAATCCTTTTATGTAACTGCTGAGGGGGGTGGGCAGAGCTCCACAGGCAGCAGCCGCGCTGATAGCAATGAGGGCACTGCGGGGCTGGGTGAGGGGTGGGGTTGGGGCTCACACTCCCACCCTGGGGGGCAGCAAGACTTTTGGGGGGCTCTCTGCATGCCAGAGGTGGGGGCAGCTCCAGCTCCAGCCTGGCAGGGTGTCCAGGAGAAGGGACTGTTCAGTGGTGGAGGGCGGTGGTGGGGGCCATGGGGCTGCTGAGCAGGATGCCCTGAGCTGGGGGGGGTCTGCAGAGCTGCAGCGCTGGGAGCAGGGCCTGGGTCTGTCCTCGCTGTCCCCACAGTGTCCTGCTGTCCCCACAAGTGGGGAAACACTTGTGTCTCCCAGTCCCACTGTCCCGCTGGGTGACTGATGATGGTGTGACCGCTGGGGACAACCGGCCCGGCTACGGCCCACGGTGCTGGGGTGTGGACACAAAACACCAGGCCACGGTTGCTTCAAAACCCTCTCCGGGTGCCTGTGCCCCCCGCCACGGGCCGTGTCCCCCCACACGTCGGGCAGGGGCTCCCACGTGGT